TCCTACCAGCAATGTACAAGGGTTCCTTTCCCTGTGTTCTTACCAACACTTTTTTAAATTATATTTTATTTAAATTAGAAACAAGCTTGTTTTACAGATCAATCCCAGTTCCCTCTCCCTCTCCTCATCCCCCTACCGGCCCCCTATCCCATCCCCTTCCTGCTACCTCAGGGATGGTAAGGCATTCCATGGGAGGGGGATCTTCAAAATCTGTCATATCTTTTGGAGCAGGGCCTAGGCCTTCCCCCCGTGTGTCTAGGCTGAGAGAGTATCCTTCTATGTGGAATGGGCTCCCGAAGTCCATTCATATACTAGGTATAAATACTGATCCACTACCAGAGTCCTCATAGATTGCCTCCTAACTGACACCCATGTTCAGGGAGTCTGGATCAGTCCTATGCTGGTTTCCCAGCTATCAGTCTGGGGTCCATGAACTCCCCCTTGTTCAGGTCAGCTGTTTCTGTGGGTTTCTCCAGCCTGGTCTTGACCCCTTTGCTCATCACTCCTCCATCTCTGCAACTGGATTCCAGGAGTTCAGCTCAATGTTTAGCTGTGAGTGTCTGCTTTTGCTTTCATCAGCTACTGGATGAAGGCTCTAGGATGGCATACAAGGTAGTCATCAATCTCATTATCGGGGAAGGGCATTTAAGGTAGCCTCTCCATTATTGTTTAGATTGTTAGTTGGAGTCATCCTTGTAGATCTCTGGGAATCTCACTAGTGTCAGATCTCTCCTCAAACCTATAATGACTCCTTCTATCATGGTATCACTCATCCTGCTCTCCTCTATTCTTTTTCCGACTCAACCTTCCTGCTCACCCATGTCCTCCTCTCCCCTCCTCTTCTCCCCTTCTCTTTCTCCTAGCTCCCTCTTCCCTACCCCCATGCTCCCAATTAGCTCAGGAGATCTTGTCCCTTTCTCCTTCTTTAAGGGACCATGTATGTCTCTCTTAGGGTCCTCCTTGTTTCCTAGCTTCTCTGGCGGTGTGAATTATAGACTGGTAATCCTTTGCTCTATGTCTAAAATCTATATATGAGTGAGTACATACAATGTTTGTCTTTTTGTGACTGGATAACCTCATTCAGGATGGTTTCTTCTAGTGCCATCCATTTGCCTGCGCTGCTGAGTAGTACTCCATTGTGTAAATGTACCACATTTTCTTTATCCACTCTTCAGTTGAGGGGCATCTAGGTTGCTTCCAGGTTCTGGCTATTACAAATAATGCTGCTATGAACATGGTTGAACAGATGTCCTTGTTGTACGAATGTGGGTGGAGGCAGGACTAGTACCAGGACGATGTCAGACCCTGAATGGGCTGTTCCGTAGGGAGGGTTCCCTTTTGCGTCCAGGCCCCAAGCCTCAGGAGGCTCTGAGCAGGGCACTGGAAGGTGGGCTGGCAACAGGCTCACAACTACCTCCTCCCATGGGTGGAGGCGGGACTAGGATGTTGGCAGACTCTGGATGGGCTGGTTCACTGGGATGGGTTCCCCAGTTCGGAGTCCCCAGGCCTCAGATGGTTCCGATCAGGGCACTGGAAGGCGGGGTGGAAACCCAACACTTTTGGTTGTTTGATTTCTTCTCATTTTAATTTATTATTTGTGTGTGTGTGTGCATTCCCATTGCATTCCCATGCATGTTCATGGTGTGTGTGCTGGAGTTGGTCCTCTCCCTCTCACACAGGACTCAGAAATTGAACTCGGGTGGTCAGGCTTGTATGGCAAGCACTTTGACAGCATGAACCATCTTGTTGGCTTCTCGATAGCAATCGTTCTGACGTTCTAATGGGTGAGGTGAGCTCTCAGTGCCATTTTGATTTGCATTTCCTTGATGGCTAAGGATGCTGGATATATTCTCATGGGTATTACCACTTTTGAAAACTGTCAATGCATTTGATTGGGGATATTTGTTTATTTTAATCTTCTATGAATACTCTCTATCGGCTGCTGACATGAACAGCCGGCAGAATATCTCTCCCATTCTGTAGCCTCTTTGCTGTATTAACAGTTTCCTTCTCTGTGCTGTTTCTTGCAGTCTCACTTGCTAATTCTTGCTATTGCTTCTGGGTATTCAAATCTTTCCAGAAGGTCTTTGCTTATTCCTGCACCTGGAGCTTTTCCCTGTGTTTTCCTCCAGCAGGTTCAGGATCTCAAGTCTCCCATTGAAATATTTGCTTCATTTCTAGTTGAGTTTTGTATAAAGCAAGAGGTAGGGATCTAGTCTCGTTCTTTTATAGGTGAACACCAAGTTTTCCCACAACATCTGTTGGGCAGGGCATCTTTCCTCCAGTGTATGTTTCTGGACCTCTAGCAGGAAACCAGATAGCTTCCATTTGTTTGTTCTGTTGATGTCTACGCTCTCCTTTCTGTCTATGTGCCTTTGCTAGTGATGGGTGTTTCTTCTAGACAATGAACAGGTCTTTTCAGTCTCCATTTTCCAACTACAGTGTTATGATTGTTTGCATTTAACATTATTGTTGAGAGGGACTTTCTGATTTCTGTAATTCTGTTGATCATTTAATCTGCTTGTATGATTAGAATATTATTTGCTCTTTTCTTCTTGTATTAAACCTGTGCTTTATTGAGTTAGACTCTTCCTCCTCTGCCGTTTTTTAAAAATTGTTATTTATTTTAAAAGACATTTATTTTTATCTTACTCACATGAGAGTTTTGTCTGCATATATGTATGTGTACCACATGCAAGCCTGGTGCCATTAAGACCAGAAGAAGTCATTGGATCCTCTATATGCACATGCACAGGCAAACATACCTGTGCACTTGTATACATTACACACTGTGTGTGAACTACACACATTGCCTTAGTCTGTCCATAGCTATTCATTCTTTCATGAATAGAGACTCTTGGGTTTGAGATAAATTTGTGCATTCCCATCTATTTTTGGTGTCACAAAGTTAAATATTGTACTTAATTTCAGGAGAGTTCTAGTTACCCTTAAGTTAAAAATAATGCCATAGATTTACCAGACTGTTGATTCTATTGCTTTATTTCTTGTTTATCAGACTCTACTCCAGGGATTCCCTAATCAGCAGCAGAAAGCCACCATTTGGCAGCACAAGACAAGGCTTTTTGATATGTGTCATTGAAACTAGGAAAATGACATGGGCTAGGAGAACCCACAAGGAGGTAGCAGTTGGCAGAATTATAGTAAGTGGAAACAAACAAAAGTGAAGCTTTAAGTTTCCTTTTAAAATGTTTCTTACTTATTATGTTTTTCATAAGATAGAAAAAAACATTGGCACCAATTTCTTTGTAAAAAGCCAACAGTCTAGGACTTCCTGTTGTTGATTTCTGAAGCATCTTGCAGAGACAGAGGCAGAGCAGTCTAGAGACTGTCTCCAGCAGACTGCACTGTTTATTTCAAACGCTGAGGGGCAGACACAGTGGGAAAAGGAAAGGGATACACCTGGGTTTGTGTAGGAGGCTTGGGGAATGGAAAGTTAATGCCAGTTCACAGTTTCTCCATCCTGGAGTTGTTTGTCCAGACAAGACTGTTTTATCCTTAGGAACTTTCTTGCCCTAGTTATCAAGTGCAGGTCACAGTGGGTGAAAGTTTGGCAATGGTAGAGATGGGGAAGGTGCTGGAGTTTCAATATAGGGCATTGGTCAAGGTCTGGAAGAGATTGTTCATAGTTTATTCTAAATATTATTATAACATTATGAGTTGAAGTAAGATTTGTTCTGTTCCTCTGAAGAATAAAACTGGTCTCATGTTTCTAGGAAATGACAGTCAACAGGCATAACAACAACCATCAAAACTTGTTTGAAACTCGTTGAATTATTCAGTGATGGATCCCCACAAGTATACATACTCTGAAGTCTGGTCGTGCAAACCGGACTTCTGTCTTTGGAGGTAAACTAGCCCCGAAAGACTCATACCTGGACCCTGATCTAAAAATGAAACTTTCAACACAGCCCCATGTGCTGTGAGCCTGGTTGTCAGCCGATGGAGTTTGGGGAAGTAACTAGATTCTTAGGCCCTTGACCCAATCAATGGATTAGTTCCTTTTGAGAGGTGACAATGAATAAGAAGTGGGTCCTAGCTGGAGAAAGTAGTCCATGAGAGCTATCCTTGTGACTTACCAAGAATTACACTCCATGGAATTCTCTTCTCTTGCCCCTCTCTCTCCTTCCTCTCTCCTTCCTCTCTCCTTCCCTCCCTCTCTCTCTTTCTCTCTCTGCCTGTCTCTGTTTGTCTGTTTCTGTCTCTTTATCCCTTACCTATATAATTCTCCCATGATGCTTCTGTTCAAGCACATGGAGCTAATCAACCATGAACCAAACCCTCTGAAACTGTGAGCCAAAATAAATAATCAATCCCTTAAGTTGTTTCTGCTGGGTATTTCTGTCACCACCGTGGGAAAGGTAACTACTACATCTCATTTCCACAGCCCTGTGCAATAGTAGCCAGTGGGGCACAGAAGCAGACTGTGCCATACAGCACAGCTTCCCCATGTGTAAGCTTCCACTTCCTGTTTCTGTGACAAAATATCCTGACAAAAAGCTGCAGCTGGTTGTTCTTACTCTTTGTTTTTGGGGGACCCACCACCCAGCTCCCAAATAAATCAAACATGGAGGCTTATTCTTACTTATGATTACCAAGCCTTAGCTTGACTTTTTTTTTAGCCAGTTTTCCTTAACTTAAATTAGTCCATCTACCTTTTGCCTCTGGGATTTTACCTTTCTCTATTTCTGTATATGTTTTCTTTCCTTCTTCTTATATATCTGACTGTATGCCTGGATGACTAGGTGGCTGGTGCCTTCTTTTCTTGCTACTCGATATTTTCTTCCCAGACTTCTTCTCCTATTTATTCTCCAGGCCAGCCTTGCCTATCTTTCTCCTACCTTGATATTGAATGTTCAGCTCTTTATGAAATGAATCAGGTGTTTAGACAAAGTAACACAGCAGCACAGAGTTAAACAAATGTAACATGAAAGAATGCAACACATCTTTGCATCATTAGACAAATATTTCACAGCATAAATGAATGTAACACATCTTAAAATAATATTCCACAACATTTCCCCCTTTTGTCTAATAAAATGAAAGGTTTTAACTTTAACGTAACAAAACTATTTACAACACAAACAGTTATCAAGTAAGAATTACACTTACAATATTCAGTCCATTTTTATTTAGTAAATGCAGAGAAAATACTCTATTGTCTATCTTAGTGATTACAAAGTTTTATACCTAATTAACTTTCTATTATAACTAAGGAAAACTATGATTTTAATTATTTAGTCTTTAACTCTCTCAAAAATCCCAGAAGGATGTAATATTACCTAACAACAGAGACATTTGGCTGCCTGGACAATCACCCAAAGTTCTTCTGTAATGGTGGGGCATCCATCTTCAGCCTACATGCCTAGAATATCTGGCAGACTTTTCAGTGAAGCAGGAATCTGGAAGAGCTGTCCTGCCTTTTATGGGCAAAGTTCATTAGTCAATTTCCTGTGTGTCCTGAAGAATATCTGGCATATTCTTCTGTGAAGCAGGAATATCAAAGGACTGTCCTACCTTGTATTGGCAAAGTTCAGCAGTCACTTTCCTGTGGGTCCTGCATGTCCAGTTTATACAGCATACTGTGAGCAGTCAAGGAAAAAACTGTTTCTTGCCCAAATGACTAACCTTGCCACAATGAAATCAAACTCCTATGGAGTTTCTTTGATGCCCATCATCCTTTTATGAAGTAAATTGATACTACCAGGAGCAAACATGTCATGAGACCTTATGTTATTAAACATCTTAAACACCATGTTATGTAGGTCTTTGAAGTGTTTGAAGATCATCTATATGTCTACAATATATCTGCTAACCTTGAATACATATATAATGTGACTCTAAGTTTGATTATTATAAATTAACCTCACTTCTTAATTATATTTGCATTTTTAAATGAGTTGCACAAGCACAATACCCCAAACAAGAGTAGAACCATATATACAGTGTAATAAAATTAACTTTAAATTTGTATCAAAATACCAAAATGCATGCTAATGCAAAATATCTGAGATTAATAGTTGTCTTTTTATCCTATATTCTTATATTCCCCTAAATGATAAAACATACATAACCCACCAAATAACCAAAAACCACCCACTCCATCTCTTGGGAATATGGGAGTCAGGTTCTCTAAACTGCTTCCTGTTGTCTGTGGGTAAGGCATTTTTAGGAGTCCTTGAGAAAAGTTGACATAATGGCCAAGTCCTAGGAAGACCAGTGGTAATCTTTGTTGATGGGTACCACCTATTAAGTTTCAGAAGATCTCCACTGATCAAAGCAGATCCATCCAAACTGGAACAAATCTCCCACCTCTTGTTTCCAGTGGAAACAAGAGCAAAACCTCTTCTACAAAGCATTTTTGACTTCCATTTGACAAGCACATTTTTGACCTCTTTTTTAAAGTTACAGCATTCTTAAAATATCTAGGCTAGTGTATTTTATCAGTCCTTCTTTCAATCCCATGTCTCTTAGCAGCTGTTTTTTTACTTATCAGCATTCAAAAAATTCAAAATCAGCCTACTACTATATAAGATACAGACTTCCTGTGTATTTTGCATCTTATGCAGTTTTTTCTTTTATGTTACTTTTACTCTCTATTTAAAGACTTTACTTTATTATTTTTAAATGATTTCTTTTTTTCTATGACTGTCCACACCCCCCTTTTATGTCTTTCTTAAGCCTACACACATTGTAAAACACACCACACTGGAACCTGCTTGGAGGTTTTTTCCCATCTGGACCGATCTCTTTTACTACATATCTTTTAGTCTTTTATTTTTTTTAACTGTGTGAGCAAACTGTAAACTGCTAAACTACAGCTGGGTCCTCTGGGCAGCTCTGTTGGCTGTCTCCACCCACTTCTAGGTTCATGAGAGCTAAGCCTAAAGCTTGAGACTGGGTCCGAGTTGTGTTTGACCCTCCAGCTCTGGAATGACAATGCCCTGCACTGTGGCAGGCATCTTTACTTAGTTTTTTTCCTTTCTTTCTATTTAATATGAAAAAAGCTGAATGGCAGAACTTCTTCTTCTTCTTGTTCTTGTTCTTGTTGTTGTTATTGTTCTTGTTCTTGTTCTTGTTGTTCTTGTTGTTGTTGTTGTTGTTGTTGTTGTTGTTGTTCTTCTTCTTCTTCTTCTTCTTCTTCTTCTTCTTCTTCTTCTTCTTCTTCTTCTTTTATGGAGGCAATGTTTGAGACAGGGTTTCTCTGTGTAGCATTGGAACCAGTCCTGGAATTTGCTCGGTAGACCAGGCTGGCCTTAAATTCACAGAGATCTACCTGCCTTTGCCTCCCGAGTGCTGGGATTGAGACATGCACCACCACCAGCAGGCATATTTTATCTTATTTTAGGCCCTATGGAAATTTGAGAGCCCTGTGTCAGATGCCAAAATTTACTTGGTTGTTTTTACTCTTTATTCTTCTGGGGGAACTCCCCCAGTTCCCAAATAAATTATACATGGAAGCTTATTCTTATGTATTAATGCCCAGCCTTAGCTTGGTTTATTTATAGCCAGCTTTTCTTAACTTAAAATTACCTTTTGCCTCTGGACTTTTACTTTTCTCTGTTTCTGTATATCTTTCCTTTCCTTCTTATTCCATGGCTGGCTCCTGGAGTCCTCCTCTCCTCTCTTCTTTCCTACCTTGATCTCCTCCTCCAAGATTTCTCCTCCTATTTATTGTCCTTGCCAGCTCTGCCTATCTTCCTCCTGCCCAGTTATTGGCCATTCAACTTGCCACAATAATCAGGTGTTTTAGATAAGCAAAGTAGCACAGCTTCACAAAGTTAAATGTAACAGAAAAGAATGCAACATACCTTTGCATCATTAAACAAATATTCCACTGCATAAATGAATGTAACACATCTTAAAATAATGTTCCATAACAAGAATCAACTAGCTCACATTTCTAGGTTTCAGTACATTGTTTTTGGGAAATCAGAGTGTCAGGAACTTAAAGCAGCTATTCCCGTCCAGTCAAGATCAGAGAGAGAGAGAGAGAGAGAGAGAGAGAGAGAGAGAGAGAGAGAGAGAGAATAAATGCATGCATGCATGAATATTACTTAACTCTCTTTCTCAACTTCACTTTCTACCTATATCAAGATGGGAACCTTACACAGTCCCAGACCCAAATTCATGGAATGGTGTCACCCACAGTGAGCTGGTTCTTCCTACATCAATTAATGTAATAAAGACAATCCCCCACAGTTAACTCATAGACCAAATTGTTCTATGCTTTTCCTAGAAGAGTCTAGAATGTAGCAAGTTGAACTTAGAACTAACCATCACAGATAGTGATAATCCAGCCTTATTTTAGACACTGAACAATAGTACACATTTCTCATTTAGTTTTGTATACTCAATAGTAATGTCCCTTTGTTTAATTTTTATTGAAGTAATAGTCTTCTTTCTTTTTTCTTGGTTAGTCTAACTAAGTGTTAATGCTTCCAAATAGCCATACTAGGCTTTGTTTTCTGTTTTATTTTAATTCTCTTCTCTATGTAACCCTGCTCTTGTTTTTATGACATTCTGATTATTGTATATTTGAGTTTAGTTTTCTTTTTCTTTCTAGTTTCTTACAGTTAAAAGTTCAGTAATTTGAGTTTTCTCTTTAATGTAAGAACTTCTTTTGCTGTATCTCATAAGTTTTGGCAGACATTCTCATTTTCATTCCTCAACATATTCTCTAATTTTATTTGTGATTTCTTCTTTGATCCACCAGTTGTTTTTGGACTGTGCCGTCCAATACTCAGATTTGTGGGAGTGGCATCTAATATCTGAACTTTTATTGCTTTAAAGACAGCGTGCAAGCCCAAGCCTGTTGGCACACATCTGTAGTCACAACTATATATGAGCTGAACTGTAACAGGAAAAAGTAAAATCCCAGAGATAGATACTGGGGTTCAAGCTTCAAGCTGAAGATCAGAAAAGCAAGCAGCCAAGCCTCTATCGTTCACCTTTACCTCAGGCTGAAAGAATTGATACTGTCTATATGAACTCTCACCAAGCCTCATGCTGCCTCTCCTCAGCATGGCTAGAGATTCAATGCCTGATACTGACTGTTGAAGACCCTACTCCTATCCTTTACACCTCTCTAATGCTGGTATTAAAGGTGTTATCTCATTACTCTTTTTTTTTCAGTATAAAATTTTCCAGTTTTAATTTTCAGATACTTCTTTTCTTTTTAATTAATTCTTTTTTAGTTTATCTTTAAATTTAAATTTAAATTAGAAACAATGTTGCTTCACATGTCAATCCCAGTTCCCTCTCCCTTTCCCTCCCCTCCTCCCATGCCCTCCCACCAACCCCCCCCAACACCCCTTCATTTCCCCAGGGAGGGTGAGGCCCTCCATGGGGGTGTCCATAGTCTGTCATTTCATCCAGGGCAGGGCCTAGACCCTCCTCCAAGAGTCCAGGGTGAGAGTGCATCGCTCATTGTTGGATGGGCGCCCAAAGTCCATTTATATGCCAGGGATAAATATTGATCTACTACCCAAGGCCTAATAGATTGCCTAGGCTTCCTCACTGACACCCACATTCAGGGGGTCTTGATCAGTCCCATGCTGGATTCCCAGCCATCAGTCTGGGATTCAAGAGCTACCCCTTGTCAGGTCAGCTGTTTCTTGGGGTTAAACCAGCCCAGTCTTAACCCCTTTGCTCATCAGTCCTCCCTCTCTGTCACTGGGTTCCTTGAGTTCAGCTCAGTGTTTAGCTGTGGGAATCTGCCTCTGCTTCCATCAGCCATTGGATGAAGGTTCTACTTCCCAAACTCTCTGGCCATGGAATTGTAGGCTGGCACTCCCCAGATCTATGTCTAATATCCATATATGAGAGAGTACATACCATGTTTGTTTTTTTGTGACTGGGTTACCTCACTCAGGATGGTTTCTTCTAGTGCCATCCATTTGCCTGCAAATTTCAGGATTCCATTGTTTTTTTTCTGCTGAATAGTACTCCATTGTATAAATGTACCACATTTTCTCTATCACTCTTCAGTTAAGGGGCATACAGGAGACTGCTTCCTGAACTTAACACCAGTAGCACAGACAGTGAGGTCAACAATTAATACATGGGACCTCCTGAAAATGAGAAGCTTCTGTAAGGCAAAGGACACAGTCAACAAGACAAAAAGGCAGCCCACAGAATGAGATATTCACTAACCCCACATCTGACAGAGAGCTGATCTCCAAAATTTACAAAGAACTTAGAAAGCAAGTTTCCAAAACACCAAAGGATCCAGTTAAAAAGTGTGCTACAGAACTAAATAGAGAATTCTCAATAGAGGAGTCTAAAATGGATGAGAGGCACTTGAGAAAGTGCTCAACATCCCTAGCCATCCGGGGAATGCAAATCAAAACAACTCTGAGATACCATCTTACTCTTTTAGACTGGATCAATGTCATGTAGCCCCCCAGTGGTCTTGAACTCCAAGAGATCCGTTTGCCTTTGTCTCCCAAGTCCTGGGGTTAAAGGCATGTGCCTGGTTTCTATAGTTAGCTAATATGGCTGCTTTGCTATTTTGATCTTCAGAGGCTTTAAAAATCATAAACAATATATCACCATACTGATCCAGGAAGATTGGGAGTTC